GTTGTAATAAAAGATTAAAGCCCTCAATACACTGGGCCAACTCTAGCGAAAAATAGCACACATAGTGCAGACACGTGTTGAGTAAATAAAATGATCGCTCTATTGACAGCATGTTTGTTTTTTTGCAGTCCTTGTGCGCGCGCTGAATTGCATCAGCAAAAGCGCGCGCAAAAACTGTGTTCAGCCACCTTAATGGCAGCGTGATAACTAAAGATCGGTATAACGAATGTTACTCGAAGTGGCGCTAACGCCAACAGTTGCACGCGCCCAAACCGTTTGTTTTGTAAACAGCCACGGTTACAACGAACTTAACATTTAACAAATGGTTAACAAATCTAGCCCGGAAAAGCACTCTTCAGTCATATATGACAAAAACAAAAAGAAAACTGAAGCATCACGAGCAACATACTTAGTCCAACACTATTCAAATGTTTCAATTTTGCAAAGAATTCCAAGAAAGTAATCTCAATTCCTCCCGTCTATTTTCAAAACGTCCTCTATTTTTGCGACTCATGCAAATCGATTCAATAATGATAAACCTATTTTACGAACAATGATTGAAATCCTGATACAAGCTTTTCAAGATGATTGCGTCGTACATGCAGCCCTTTCATTGTTTTGAAGATGAGAATATATATACCGCACTGGATCAGCCTGTTAAAGCATTCTCCATGGTTCGCTACGATCTCCATACATAGTCAGAACCGCTCATCGTGGACTTTCAGGGAAGAATTTTTTAAACTTACCTGCGTTCTGAGAAGCCATGGCCACTGAAAAATTTTTGTGAAACTTTCTCTCTTTCAAAATTAGCAGACGTTAGCAGACGTGCGACTTAAGTGTAGCACTATTACATGTAACTGACGTCACAAAAGCGTATGTGGACATGTCGCGCGCTTTTATTTTACACAAATTACAGTTGTAATTCTAATTTTGGAAATTAGATATTTGACATTTGTCTAAATACGGGTTCTACGCGTCCCATGGTTGTTATTGCGATATTGCTTTTGTTTCCAGAATTGTGTAGGTTCTGCATCACTCCGCTATGTGATTGGTGTGAAAACTCGCGGCGTTTTCTCGACCAATTTGAATTAAAGCTAAACCTATGCACGACTTGGTCATTCGCGCTTTCCCACCTTCAAGCAAATTGCTTGTTTTTATCTTGAGTTCTCATCGGCTCCTCGTGATATTTTTTGTTTTTCTGATTGCCTGTTGTGATTACTTCGGTTTTAACGAGAGGTTTAAGTACACCAATTTAAAATGCATTCTATTAGTGTTTTTGTAGACGGAGTTCGATGACCGTTATAGTATTTTATTTCTTAAGTTATATAGGTTTACCTTTTTTTCTACGTGTGGGCCAAAATTGTAACTCACA